CCGGTGTTCCTTTCCTTCTCCCTCTTACTTTAGTGACCATTAGTTTGGAATCCCATTTCCACTCCCCAAATCTTTTGCTTTTGTCTTTATGCAATGCCCTTCAAGACAGAATTTACTCTTAGGATCTCAATGATTGTTTCTGATCTACTGACTTCTAACCCCAAGCCCCAGCCCTTCCCCAAATTCCCAATCAAGAATGTCTAGTTGCCCTTGGATATCTCCTCATGACCTTAAAAACTAAATGTTTTTAAAACTGGATTCACGACCCCTGCCCCAACCTCTACCCTGCCTTGCTGCACCAACTCAGCTTCTATAGCTGACCTTGGTTTTAAAATGATCCACTCTCACTCAAGCCAGAGATATAGCACTCACCTTCCATCTTTCCCCTCCTCTGTATCTAAACAGCCACTACAGCCACTAAATCCCATCAATTACTTGGGGATTTAACATCCTTCTAAGAGAGCCACCTAATATCCTGGTTGTTGCTAGAGTGTGTAATCAGAAGCCTTCCTCCCATCCAAATATACTGCTTATAGGGGTGAACTATCTTCTTCAGGGAGCCTTCTGTAACTGCACCTTCCCGGAATACTATCTTCCCCTCTAGAGGAAGGAACCCATAATGAAGTATCCACTGTGGGCTCAGCTTTTTCAAGCATTTTAAAATTTAATCTTAGGGCGCCTGGGTGGTTCAGTCGGTTAGGCATCTGACTTCGGCTCAGGTCACGATCTCGTGGCTTGCGGGTTCAAGCCCTGTGTCGGGCTCTGTGCTGACAGCTAGCTCAGAGCCTTGGAGCCGGTTTCAGATTCTGTGTCTCCCTCTCTCTCTGACCCTCCCCTGCTCACGCTGTCTCTCTCTCTCTCAGAAATAAATTTTTAAAAAACATTAAAAAATTTAAATTTAATCTTAAAAGCATGGTTTTAATGTTTACAGATGAGGCGACTGACAGGCTAAGGAACTTCTACAATGTAACAGAGCAAGTAGGTGGCGGGACTTGAACCCCTCGTCTGATAGACTCCAATGCCAACCTTTTCCCTTCTGTTTCACAAGGCCTCCCTAGAGTTCATGCCAGCTGTTACAAAACTTGCCTATTCATTCAAATCACCTGGGGAATAGAGTCTGAGGCCCCACACCAGAGCTACTAATACTACCTGAAGGTAGGGGCCCCAGATTCGATTTTTAAAAATTCCAATAGTCTTCATTTGACATACACCATTTATTACTTATTACTAACTAGCATGTTTTTTAATTTTTATTTTATTTTATTTATTTTTTTGTAAGTTTTTTTTTTTATATTTTTATTTATTTCTAGGAGAGAGAGAGAGACAGCGTGAGCAGGGGAGGGTCAGAGAGAGAGGGAGACACAGACTCTGAAACAGGCTCCAGGCTCTGAGCTGGCAGTCAGCACAGAGCCCGACGCGGGGCTCAAACCCACGAACCGCGAGATCATGACCTAAGCGAAAGTCGGACGCTTAACCGACTAAGCCATCCAGGCGCCCCTTTAATTTTTATTTTAAAAACAATATTTAAATAAGCTCTACACCCAATGTGGGGCCCAAACCCACAGCCCAGAGATCAAGAGTCACATGCTCTATTGACTAAGCCAGCCTGGGACCCCCTAGTATGTTTAAAACACATGCTTTGTTCTTTGAACAAGGATAGGAAGCACACTGCTCTGTTCATCTTTGTGACCCATCTGGTACCGTAACAGAGCAGGCACTCAGAAATATTTGTTGGTTGTTTAAATGCTAACCTGAGGTGCGCTGTGAGCTGTACCGTTACAAGAGTTCCGAGACTAAATATACCAATGACAATAATAACAGCTAGCACTTATGAAGCCCTCTTTCTGTGCCAGGCCCTCGCTGTTCCAAAAATGTACCTGTATCAACTTCCTAACCCTAGGAAGGTGAGATCAGAACACAAGCTGCAGGGGTCCCTGTTCAAAAATCATTAAGAATTTCATATGGTGACAACACAGCATTAAACCAAGTGAGGGGCCAGCCCTTCTAAGTGCCTGTGTGACTATACAGGTCTCATACCCATGGCTAAGACTCTTCTCCTCATTTTACAGATGAGGAGACCAAGGCACAGAAGTCTCAAATAAACATGCCCAAGATCACATTATTACTAAGCAGAGAGATCACCCTTAGCTAGAGAAGGCTTCCTTGCAATCTCGAATCCTCTCCAACCCTCCAAGGTTTGGCTCAAATCCTCCCTTGTCTACTAAGTGTTCTCATAACGACACCAGGGAACACATCTCTCTTCCTTCTCTGAGACTTCAGCTCCATGACAGCATTTTGTTCATACAGTTCTCGGGGCCATTATCATAGTCCCACGTTATACCTGAAATGGCCAGGAGAGGGGAGCCCCAAAATTAATGTAGTCGAATGAACAAATTAACAAGAGTACCACCTTGAAGACAGAGAGGGACAAGAGGGAATTCCAGGTGGGGGACAGGCCTAGGGTAGTGATCAACTTCTTTGGCAGGATATGGCAACATGGTTGGCTTGATTGGACCAAAGGTATGCGAGCGGGCCAGTATGAATAACACTGGAAAAGAGGGTGCGGTAAGTTATAAAGCACCTTATAACACAACTAGACAAGTCACTTCTCATGGACCAGAAGAACACATCGCATGCTTAGTTGTGGTTCATCCATTTCACAAATATTTGAGCACCTACCACGGTATGAGACACAATTTTAAGCAACAAACAAGACAGCCAAGATCCTTGCTCTTGGGAACATGACTTCTGGCGGGGGCGGGGTCAGACAGCACCAACAGACCATTCCAGGTATCGAGGAGCTCTGAAGATAATCAAATAGGGTCCTGTCACAACGAGTACCTTGGAAACGACCTTACGATCTACATGGGTGATCCGGGAACGCCTCTCTGAAGAAGTGACTTCTGAATTGAGAAGAATGGGAAGGAACAACTGGGGGAAGAGTGATCCAGGTGGAAGGGACGGTGAATGCCAAGGTCCTGAGGCTCACAGATCAAGGTGTGTTCAGTGAACAGCAAGAAGGCTAGAGCCTGGTGAGCCAAGCAAGGGAAGGGCCACAGGAAACCAGAGAGCTGTTTTATGATAATAGCATTTCTGCCCTGCTCTTCTGTGCAAACGGTCTCTTTTCTAAATTACTTGGAAGGAGTGGGAATGGAAAGACAGGAAAATGGCGATGAAGTTTTGCCCCATTACTAAGCAGGGGGCACTCAGTTCTCCAGGGACTGGATTCACCTCTGTTCTTCCTCCGTGCTTGGGAAGCCACGGTTCAACCCCTCAGGTCAGTTAGCTCTGCTTCGGAGGAAAAGGCATCAGGTCACAGCCTGACTGCTACTCCCCGTGCAGCCGGTCTTCTCACCCACAGGCACTGTGGGCTGGGTGACGGGATGGGGACACGCCAGCACGCCTCATCCCTTGGCGAATACACTTGCTTCGAAGATGCTGCTAAGCGGTCTCCTGGCACCAAGCACCTGCACCAAGCACTTTGAGGAGAGCTTCCCATTTATGTTCAAAATCGCCCAGATTCTCCCATTTCACAGATCTGAGAGGTTAAGTAACCTGTTCAAGAGCGCACAACAGGAAGTGGCAGACTAAAACCCAGCTCTTCTCTTTAATTTCAGAATTTGTCCACGGGATGTGAATATTCCTGACATTCAAAAAGTACACAGAATAACATACAAAAACCTGCGGATACCAAATACAGCTCAAGAAATACAACTTAATGGGACACCTGGGTGGTTCAGTCAGTTAAGCGTCTGACTTCAGCTCAAGTCTTGATCTTGCAGCCTGTGCGTTCGAGCCCTGTGCTGGGCTCTGTGCTGGCAGCTCAGAGCCTGGAGCCTGCTTTGGATTCTGGGTCTCCCTCTCCCTCTGCCCCTCCCCAACTCATGCTCTCATGCTCCATCTCTCTCTCTCTCAAAAATAAACGCTAAAAAAAAAAAAACAGAAAGAAATACAACTTGAAGTACCTCTCTATTCTACCAGACCACACGGCCTCCGATTTCTCCTTTTTGGGAAGCACGCAAATGGCATCACATCCCCAAGTGCCAGCCAGAAATCGGGTAGGCGCCAGTATCACCTCCCTCTTCTTCTAATCGATTAACAAGTTCAATAAATCTTGATATCTATTCCTACTTCCACTATAATCGCTACCTTTCTCCCTTCTCCATGTATCATCTCTTAGCTGGATCATGGCGACGGCCCTGTAACTGGTCTCCCTGTATCTCCTCTCCCCTTTCTAGTCTAATCTCCCCATTATAACCACCAATTTTAAGACCTTAAAACAGTTGCCTTTGCTCTGAGAATACAGCCAAAATCATATGTATGGCATATCAAGTCTCATATGCTCTTTCCCTTACTCAACGCTCCCAACTTTATCTCAATCCCTTGTTCTCTGTGCTCTGGGGCTACTGGCCTTCTTGCAGTTCCTTATAATGCCCGTGCTCCTTCTCTTCACAGGGCCTTTGCACATGCTGCTCCTTCCTTCTCCACCTGAATAACTCTTCCCTTTCTCAGGTAGGCTTTCCCTGAGCCCGACTGGGTCACTCTTCCAACTTTACATTTGTTTATGAGATAAATGAATTAAAATCTTTCTTTCCTAATAAGCCAAAGACCCAGAACCGCTTGCTTAATACAAAATAATGCTTAATAGGTAATAGCCAATGCATACCTAACACATATAACATGCCAGCGTCCCTAGCAATCCACACATATTAACTCACATAAGATCTCCCAAAAGCCCTATGTGAAGTAGGTACAATTACCAGCCCCATTTTTACATACAAGCAAAGCAAGTCACACAAGTGAAAATGTGGCACTGCTGGGAATATGAACGCAGCAGGCAGTTTCTGGAGTCTGTGTGTTACACACTCAGGTTATGGTGCCTCACCGTATTTGCGGAATGCAGGATAGTATGGAGCACTTTCGATAGGGGCTAGACGGCACCATCGGTAACCTCGGTTCAATTTAAAAAACAAATCTTTCACTTTTGGGAAGGATCTTACCAAACGACTGGAACTTCGTGGCAAAACATAGATCTTCCCAGCATTGGATTCCAGCTGCTTTAAAAATGCGTTTGCCCTCACCGGTATTATCATATTGAGCAAATTCCTGGAGGGCAGGAGAAAGTTGGGTTGGAGTGAGGCAAAACTGTGGATCATTTGTAAGATGGCTAATCCACAGGACAAGTCAAAGGATTTCCATGCCTGGTGTCTTACTTAACCTTCACTGATTCCTAAGAAAGTTGCACACACAGTACAGTTCTCCCTCAGTGAACAGATGAAGCCAAAGGGGTGCAGGGGGTTAGGAGGGCTGCTAAGTCATAGGAAACCCACCAGTCACAGGATGGCGTGACTGGCTGGTTTCACACTTTTAGCTTCCGAACTGTAAAGAGAGCTCTAGCAGAGAAAGACCTCTTCTTCTTTTAAGGGGTAAAGGTAGCTAACTCACCTTCCCCTCATTCTTGGGGGGACCCTCTCAGGAAGGACAGAGTTCCTCCTAGGTTTTCCAGGTGTGTCTGGAGTAGGATAATTATTCTGCAAGCTCAATCTATGTGGCAAAGAGCTCTACAAACTAGCTACATCCAATGAACCCTAAGTCAAGATGGTGAAAATGTAATAATTCAGAAAATGCTTCGCCAGGAGCCTATGTACCAACCTCAGGGGAAGTCAGGGTATGCACGTTTTCTTTATGTGCATTTTGCTACAGAAAGGTTTTCATTAGTTTCTTGCAGGATTTGAACTAAAAAAGGCCAAGAACTGCAATCCTCCATGCCTGCAAACACATTCTTTCTGGTTCACGAGTGTGCGTGTATAGGGGCACCTTCTCAGACTGAGACACCTTCAAGTACCTGGTCGCTAAGGACAGGGGCATCCAAATGCCCACCCCACCTTAGACAGGCCTCAACACCTATAGATAAGCCTCAGGGAACTGCATTAGTATTCACCTCCTGAAAGGGGAAGCTGCGTGTAAGGCCAAGGGCAGTAGGAGCGCTTATGGTCAGTCCCGAGCAGGCCACTAACCGGCTGTGTAATCTTGGACAAGCTGCATACCCTCTCTGGGCTTCAGTTTCCACATCTGCAAATTGGAAGTTGCACCGCCTGGTCTTCAACGTCCTTCCCAGCTGGGAGCCTGGCACCAAGCAGGCCTGGCCAAGGAAGCAGCTTCCTGTGGGCGCGGTGCAGGGCTTTAACGGTCACCCCCGCCACCCCCGCCTCCCCCGCTAGGGCCCGCGAAACCGTCCTCAACACGCCCCTTGGAGTGACGACGCTTTCCCGACCGCAGCCCGAACACGGCTCCGCCCCTTCCCGGGGGCGTCCCATCGTGCCCCGCGCCGGGCTCCTAAAGCAGCGGGGCGCCTCCCGCCTTTCCGCGGCCCCGACCCCGAACTCCTCTCCTCAGTTCTCCCGGGCGCCCTATCCTATCAACGTCTAGTGTCCCAGCCAATCACGCGGGCCGGGAGTCTCGCCTTCGGTCCACCCTCCTCCCAGCGCTCAGCCGGTCTGAGCTCAAGGCCTTTACCAGGCCAATCCAACCAGCGGCCGGCTCCCGCCTGCCCCACCCCAATTTCCCTCTCTTCAGCCAACCCGCGTGCCTCATCCCGCTGCCCGCCCAGCCAACCCGGGACTTGAAACCAGCGGGCGAATGAGTGCAGAGCGGCCCTTCAACGCTAACCGCCTGGCCAATTGGGGATTCCGCGTGGCCAGGAGGGCAGCCAATCAACATGTAGCGCGGTGCCGCCGCGGAGAGGTCCGGTCCGAATATCCCTCCGCCTTCCTCCCTCCCTCTCTCTCCCTCCCTGCGAGCCGCCGTTCACCTACCGCCTCCCTTCCTTCTTTCTCCCTCCGCCACCCGAGCACCAGCCGCGCTCTGAGCTAGCCCCGGGGTCCCTCCCCCGCCGCCAGAGGAGCAGCTGCCGCCGCCGCCAGCAGCAAATTAGGAGGGAGGAAGGAAGGAAAGGAGGAAGGAAAGGGAGCCGGGGCGACTACCAAGAGGGAGCCGGTGAATGGGCTTGTGGTGACCCCCGCCCCCCACCCCACCCTCCCTTCCCACCCGACCCCCAACCCCCATCCCCAGTTAGAGCCGCCGCCCGAGAGGCCGGACCGTCATCTTAGGAGGAGTCCCCGCCACCACCTCCGCCATGGAGCTGATCACCATCCTCGAGAAGACCGTGTCTCCCGGTAGGACGCGGGGGCCGGGGGTCGGGCTGAGGTGACCGGTTGGGGGGAGGGGAAACCCTGGCCTCTCTGACCCTGTCCCCTTCCCACTTTCCTTCCCCCCCAGATCGGCTGGAACTGGAAGCGGCGCAGAAGTTCTTGGAGCGTGCGGCCGTGGAAAACCTGGTGCGTGCAACCCTGCCGTCCCCCATCCCGCCGTCCACCCATCCCTGCGTGCGGGCCTTCCCGCCCTCCCGGAGGCCCAGGCCTCGGGAACCCACCCCGCCCCATCCCGTCCCCCTCCCCCCCCGTCCAACCTAACCCCGCCATCGGGAAGCCGGTGGGTGTGTCCCGCCCCGGGCCCGGGGCAGCTGGCCAATGGCGCGGCGCGCCGGGGTGACTGCCGCCCAATCGCCGCGCGGCCGGAGGGCGGCGGTGCAGCAGGAGGGAGAAAGAGGGAGGGAAGGGAAGTTAGGTTGCGCGACGCTGCGTGTTCAGCAAGGGTGGGGGTGGGGGAGCCGGGCCTAGGGGCCATGTGGAAGATCCGAGCCCAGCTGCCCGCCCTGTTCTGACCGGGGCCGGCTTCTCCTTCCCGTCCCGTCGCCCCTATGATTCTCTCCACCTACTTCCCAGAGTCTACCCTTTCCTCTGTCCCTTGGTTGTGTGCTCATGGCCAGGCCTGGTACCCGAATACCTCCTAACCCATCCCGGCAATGTTGTCGGGTTATTCCTCTATGGGTTGTTTAGTTTGGGGTTCGGAGGGGCTTGGGGTTTGTTTTTTTGTTTTACTTCGATGGGTAGAGACTGAATCTGTGTCCATAGAGCAAGCTGAGGCTCATCCTTGATCGGGCCTGTTTCTAGATGAAATCACAGAGGAAAGTTCCTTATTTTCATATTTTCAAGTTTAAGGGATACAGAAAAAAATGAAGATAAAGGCCATTAGACTGGACCTCGGTATAAAAACATGGGATGGATTGGTTGAAACCACCTCTGTGGCAGTAACGTTTCTCTTTGATGTCCCTCCTACTGGGGGGATGGGGAGCAGGTGGAAAGGTAGACGATACTTGACATTTTTTAAAGGTAATAGAAAATAAGTCTAAATAACAGCGTAACCAAACGTGTCCCTTTGTTGTTTGGGCAAAATATAAGCAAAAAAAGTGACAAGGCTTATTTTATACAAACTACCTTAAATGGCTTTTTCTCCCCCTCTTATGTGCTAGTTTTTACTACTCTTTTTATCCTTAAATTTTTCATAGAAAGGATTTTTTTCCACTAGTCAAGACCAGTAATAGTACTTCCATTTGGGGTATGTTCCTTCTTCTGCTTCTGCTAATTCACAAGAAGTGATTTGTCTTATTCCTAACATTTTCTTTATGAACATTCCTAATATTTTTTAGTGGTATGTAATTAATAAAACCTTTAAGAATTACCTTCTGCTGTGATTGCAGACCTTGGCAGTGGTAAGAAACTGTCTGCTTTTGGTTTTTCCTGTTAACTTTTCCAATCGGACAGAACTTCCTGTAGGGAAGAGGAGTGTGTCTTAAAATTTTTAAACCGAGAGAGTAGCTTAGAGGACCTATGCATTACAGAAGATTGAGTAAGCTTTTCAAAAATGCATTATGTTTAGTGAACAGTTCAAGTCCAAAATGTATAGGAGCCTTTCGGGTGTTAACTGTTGACTCTTAAAGTCATTTTTCTTGGCAAATTTGCCTTGACGTTTTTATCTTTTCAGTTTTCCCGTTTCTAAATATTACCAGATTTTCCAAGTTGTCTTTTTTCATTGTTCCCCTCTTGCTGAGCACTTCAAGCTAAAACAGAGGACTAGCTTTCTAAATCTATGTTTTAGCATTTTAAGTATTTACCTCTGTTATAGATTACCTGAATATGTGAGATCAAAAGCCACCCTGAATATTCTTCTGGGACTAAGATTCTTTTTTAATTTAGACAATTTTACTTTCTACCCTGTCCTAACATATTCATTCGTTTAACAAATATTTCTTGAGTATCCGGCATTGTTACCTAGAAGAATCCTTTGACTACTAGATGGTCAAACTTCTTTTTTTCTGGGAGACCTAATGTGAAGATTTGGGCGCTAAGAATTCTGTCGATAGGAAAATCTGTACTTCCTTGTTAAATGCTAAGGCTGCAGGGAAGATGGGTGACTTCCTTGTGTAATATGTAACATTTTTATAGGAATCTTGAAATAGTATTGTAACATTTTCTGAGGCATGATATGGCCTGAAAAACTTAAGTTTCCCCCAGTGCTTTGGTGCTCCAGAAGCTATCCTTGATTGGTGAAATTCCCGAGAGATAGTTTCATTCACATATGCATCTTCTCTTAATAGCCCACTTTCCTTGTGGAACTGTCCAGAGTGCTGGCAAATCCAGGAAACAGTCAGGTTGCCAGAGTGGCAGCTGGTCTACAAATCAAGAACTCTTTGACATCTAAAGATCCAGATATCAAGGCACAATATCAGCAGAGGTGGCTTGCGATTGATGCTAATGCTCGACGGGAAGTCAAGAATTATGTAAGTAACTTCATCTTCTTTTGGTCCTGTTAGCCCTAGGGAACAAGATACATCCATCCCTTCACCCCTACCCCATCCTCTCCTCCTGAACCCCCTGCAAGAAACACCTTGATCTGTTCAGTCGTTTACGTAGGATAGAGCTGACAGTGTAATAGGTTTCTGAGATCTCTGCTCCACTTGAAGATAAAAATTGTATTTGATTAAAATTTTCTTTCCCAGTTCAGCTTGTCTGTACTTTGCCATCATTTCCCATCAATGAATGCAGTGGAATTTTTTTTCAGAACTAAGGTAAACAGCAGTTTGAGGAACTTGAATTAGATGCCAGAATTTGTAGAATCTGTTAATTGACACAGTATACAAATTGGTGGTTCCTGAACGTGAACTATCAGAATCACTTAGGAATGTATAACAATAGTATATATCCGTGCTTCCTCCAGAGATTCTGTTTCAGACTTAGGCTCTAGTATTTTGTAAATATTCCTGTCTTCCAAAGTGATTTTTTTTTTTTCATAGCCACCCCCTGCTCTTGTAGAATTTCTGCTGTAGGTAATTCTCATTGCTTGGTGATTTAGGCATGGCACAGTGTGGGGTTTAAAGGGGAACTAAGTTGTGTCCTGGGCCTTTCAAGCCCAGAGAATTGGCGAATTAAGAGTATGATATTAATGATGTTTTTCTCTACTTAATAAACAGGACAACTTCCCTTAGAAACATCTGGCTTTTAATCAGGGCATTCAGAGAGTGGACTGATGAGTTTTGAGAAAAGTAGGATGTCCCTTGCATCATGGAGTTCTTGTGTCTTTGTTGTTGAATTAAAATCCATAATTCTAGCTGCAGCAAAAGATTCAGAATATGTGGCCAGATGTCCTCCCCACCCACCCCAGTTAATGAGGTTCTTAGTGGTCTGTCTTACGTGCATGAGGCACTAAAAACGGTAAGTCAAGCCGTTGGTCCTTGGTACTTAGGGGGAAACCAGTGTGGGGGAAATTCCTAAGTGTGTACTCTGAACATGTCATGGTTCTACACATCATAGTTACTGTTTTCTGGCTCTAGGTGTCAGCATTAGGTAACTTTGTGGCCCTGGAGGCAATAACCTCTCTCTCAAGTTAATATACCCGTTCCTCTGACTGTTAATATACCACGAAGGTACTCATGACTGAGAACTAGATTATGAAAGCCAGCTTATTCTGAATCCTTTTTGGAATATGTAGAGCTATTTCTAGCCACATTGGGTCTGCTTATGTAATAACATTTTAATCTTCCCTTCAGTAATTTGATATAAATGAAGCCCATTCATCAGTCACTGGAAATCTTGGTGCGTGTAGCGCCCATTCAGTTTCTCTTCCTTGAATTCTGCAGTAGTAAATGAGAGGAGACCTGATTAGAACGGTAATTGACTCTTTTTTTGGCACATCACTCTTAACACTTCTTAAAATTTGGGTAAGCTTTTGTATATGTGTTGTTGAACCCTTCTGCATGAAAAAAAAAAGAGCGGTTGATGTGGCCTTTATTCCCTTTCATAGCACCTCTGGTAATTAGTACTTTCAGTGTTGATGGCTCTCTTTTTTGAAATGTGGGTCTTGGATGCCGCTGAGAGGTACTTCCTTATTTCTCTTCTTTCTGATAATGAGTATTTTTAGGATTACCCCTAGGTCAAAAAAAAAAAAAGAAAAACCTTTCTGTATTTAGGAGCTGGACATTTGTGGCCCCTAAATCACCTCAAGTAATATTAATTAAGGGTTTTCCAGAAGCAATTTAAAGGAGAAAAGATAAAATTAATGATGGGATTCGGTGCCCTCTGCCCCTGTACCAGGAGATGGTGTGGTATAGGGGGAAAGCACCCTGAACTGGAACTGTTCGTCAGACATGGGTTGATACCTGTTCAGCCCCTGCTGTTTTGGACCGGTCATCTCATCCCTGCTTCCCAGCTCTGTGTCTTTGACATACAGTCTTTGTTAAGACTGTACATACATGCCAGCTCTGGTAACCCTTGAGAGCAGAACCTTCATTTAGAATCCATCAGAACAGTTTGTTATTGGGCAGAGCTGTCGGCAGTGGGGATAGGCAGGGATGATGATATACTGTATGGGGGAAAGATGGGGAGTTCATTATTATTAGCTACAAAGCGGGATACTCAGTGACCTGACCCAGTCAGCAGAGCTGGCCTGAATATCTGGCAGCTAATCTTTGTCCTGTGTTCATGCCAGGAACAGTTAACTGTTTGCCTTTTGAGTGGACTGGTGATTCTTAGTGAGTTCATTGACTGAATTAGCTGATTGTGGTAATGATTAACCCTGGGTCAGTTGTGGCTTCATCCTTTATCTGTACCTGTGCCTTTACCCTTTACATAAATCCTGGTATGATAATCATTTCAAACAAGACCTGTTTAATGAAAAGCAGGTCTCATTTTAATGGGCATATCTAACTAGTACTTGGTATCTCTTGATAGTGGAGAGAAGAG